CTGCAGCGGCGTAAGAACCTCGACTGCAGTAGCAGCTACCACGTCGGGACTGTGACTACTCGCGGGCACAGGGCTGTTTCCCGGAGAGTCCACATCAATCGCAGTTTCGGAGGCAGCCTTACCCGTACGAATATGGTCGTTGCCCTAATGACCGGGTCCGCCAAACCCCCTGAAATTTTGCATACATTTCCGTGATCGGTTTGGGCTCTGGACCCCACTTGCTCCAGAGAGCTGAAAAACTGGTTAACGGTTCGGGCTTGGCACCTTGTTTCAAAGCAGAACACTTCGTTCTGGCATTGGGCAGGTCCCTGAAACAGGGAATTCATTGGTTTTGAAACCAAGATTTCCAGAACATATACTATGCCAACTCAAAAACCTGCACCTGTTGGCACATATTGTGTGTTGTTTCTCTTCCACGCAAAACGGAACGCTTGCAGATGATGCATGTTTTTTTGCTTGAACTTATGTTGAACATGTGCTCTCTGCCTGGCTATTGCTGTGTATTTGTCGCAATGTTGCGGGAATCATTCTGCACAAAGGCTAGTTGCCAATGACATGGTTTGCTTTTCCTGTCCCACCATTCCAACCATGCAACCAGGAAGTTGGACTGAACCCCAAGTCCTTGACCTGCAAGCATATTGTCTTCGCCAACCGACTTCCCGGGCATTGTGACAAAACTGCAGCTATTGACATTCTGTCACTGGGTTTCGGAAGATGTTTTACCCTTTGAATCCACCCCAAGTATGGAATTGAGGGTTTAGGTGTTTGGAGCTGGTTTGTGTTTAAAGTCTTTAAAAACCCACCACCACCCTGGACCCCAGGACTTGAACTACCCGTGCTCTTTTCTTTTCTCTTCTAGCTCGCAAAACTAATCGTTCCTTTCAAGGACCGAAATGAGAAACTTGAAATACTTGAAACATGGGTCAAGGGTTCGGCTTTGCTCTGGTCGCAGTGTCTCCAAACAAAGATTGCATGCCCTGACTGGAGACCAACCTGAATTTGTCCAGGCCCTGCGAACTCGAAGCATCCTGTCGCAACAGCCTTTTCTCAGCTGCTTGAAGCTTCTGTCTTGTTTCAGACAAGTCACTCTCCAACTCAGCTTTCTTTGTCGTTAAAACTGAGATGGTCTTTTCCTGGCTATCTGCCAGAAGTCGAGTTCGCTTCAAAGCACACTTGAGGTCTTCCACCTCATTCTCCAAACAAGTGATTTCCAAATCTTTGTCATCCTTTTCGAAGGTTCTCCTGACCCCGCGTCTGATGCCTTGAACCTCGCAAGGCTCTGCAGTCGGCAGTATCGCAGGTCCGGGTCTTTGGCTTTTGGTGTCTCCCACTGATTGCAGAGCTTGCTGTGCTGCGATTGCAGTATCATCCCTTTCGGAGCTGGCCATTGACGATGGTCTAACACACAGTGTCGAGAATGAGAATACATGAGAAGTGTTGAGCACCTTATTTCCTATCTCACTGGTCTATCACCCTTGCAATGCGACAACATGCATGCTGCACATCTGACAGGCAGTGCTGGGCAGCATGCGCCCTGACTGTCAACACATTGCACATCCATTCGCAACGGGCACCATTCTAGCATATACGTTTGTTCATGTTTTTCCTGGGCTTGGGACCTGTTCCCATCATGTTGCCTCGGCATCTGTGTTTGCAAAACAGTACCTCGCAGACTCGCAGACTCGCAGCATTGGATATCGGCCTTGCAGTCTCCGGCTGCTGACAGTTGAGAACAGTACTTAGCCCCACTGACTGCTGGCACCTAGATCGTCAGCTGACTAGCTTTCACAAACCTTACACAGCACATGATTTTTTAAATGCTTTCCGGCCCTTGGTCTTCGGACTTTCCACTCGCTCGGCCTCGGTATCTGTGCTATGCCATCTTTAGCCTCGTGCAACACAGCACCTCGCAAAGTCACAGCATTGGATATTGTCCCTGCAGTGGTAGGCTGACAGTTGAGAAGAGTACCTAAGTACTTAGCCCCGCTGACTGCTGGCACTTTAGATCTTATTTGCTGTGGCTTCGAGGATCTCGAACTCTGCTCAAATCTGGCTACTCTGGCTATCGTATTTGCTGGCCTGTGAGTCTGGCAAAACCTCAGACAGGACCCTTGGATCTTGCCCTCGAACTGGATCGAAGGCTTCACTGGAAAAGCACTGTGAGTCTGTTTTGTCACGGTTGTGACCCTTGGATCTTGCCCTCGAGTTGGATCGAGGTTTCACCCTGTCTGAGCCTGTGCTGAGGGTTTTTTTTTTGATGGCCCGTGAGTCTGACAAATCTCAAACACTATGACCCTTGGATCTTGCCCTCGAGATGGATCGAGGGCTTCACCCCAAAAATACCGTGAGTCTGTTGGAAAATCTCACGGTTGTGACCCTTGGATCTTGCCCTCGAGTTGGATCGAAGGCTTCACACTGCCTGAGTCTGTGACTGAAGGAAGGCTCTGAGCTTCACCAAGGCCTCGTTCTGTGCCAGGCTACCCTCCTTGTCCATCTGCTCCAGCCACTGGAGCATTGGAGGTACGAAGGCCTCTCGTCCAATCACTTGGCGAATGCTGTGATTCTCGCTATCGTCACCCGAAAGTTCAAACCACACGCAGTTGGAGGGAATCAGAATGCTTGCTCCAGGCTTCAGCCTGACCATCCAGCCATGATTTTCCGCTTCCAGTCGGATCTGTGTAGCTGTCATGCTTTCCAGTTTCCTCACTTCCTCGGCTAGGGTCTTGCCACCCAGCCTGTCAGGACGGAACCCTCCAACTGCCAAGTCCCCCTCCAAGAGCAGCAGCAACATTGGGCAGTTCAGCTCTGTTCGCGCGTAGAGACTTCCGGTGTTGTTGTGCCTCTGGGCGAACTGAATCACGAAATGGTCCTGTGCCTCGGCAGGAACTCCTCGCAGTGTGTCTGTGCCCAGGATGTCGGGCCACGACTTCTGCAACAACTGGCCCAGCCTGCCGGCCACAGCTTTCTTTGACACGATGGCAGAGCAACTGCTGCCCTGCACGAACTTCATCTTCTCTGCCACCCATGTCTTCTGCAGCTTGTAGTAGTCCAGGCCAAAAACCGTATCTCGCAGTTGCTGGCTGCGATTCGTATCCAGGAGACAGGGTGGGCCTCCCGCCAAGATATTCTTGACATCGAGGGTGTAGGAGATGTCGCCATGTGACTCTGTCATGCTCCTGCAGTCCTTGGCCAAGGCCAGGCCCAGCTGGTCCAGGGTGTTGCTGCCAGCAACTTTGGCAATCTTCTTCCCAGCAGCTGTTTTCTGGGCTGCTTTCTCGGCGTCTCGGATTGCCTTCTTTGTGTTGTTCAGCCAGCACCTCACATCCGTGATCGTGTCTTTCGCTGCCTTGGAGTCCTCAGAGCTTGTGTGGAAGTTTTTTGTCGCCTCGGTGATTTGCTGCCTGAGGGCAGCCAGCTCTTCCGCAGTCTGGGTTTGGCTTGCGTCATGCTCCCAAGCTTTGTCCTTCTCATTGATGGAGGTTTCCAGGGTCTGCAAGGCTTGGGCCACACACCGGAACTTGGCAGCCTGCTCCCTCTTGATGTCTTCGCCTTCATTTTCTGTCAGCTTGTTGGCCTCCTCTTCCAAGGTCTTGTAAACTGTTTGCAGCCTCAGAAGCACATTTGTCATGGTCTGCACTGCCTTTCCCTTTGCAGACTGCAGTGCCAGCTTCTCCAGGGGCAGGGACTTCTCCTGGCTCTCTTCTTTCTCTTTCTTCTGCTTTGCTTCCTTGGCTTTTCTCTCTGCGATGGCAGCGGCCTGGGCATGCATCTCTGCATCCCTTGCTTCCTCAATCTCTTTCAGCTGCCCCAAGTCTTTGCGGACAGTGAGCAGAGGGATGATTTTATCATCCCCTTCTTCCTCGTTTGCCTTGGCCTCGACCGAAAGCCTGTTCTTTGCTCGCTTCAATCGGCTCTCATTCTCTTCCAAATATTCATCCAGCTCCTTCTCGTCGGAGATATCCATTCTCTGCCTCAGTCCTGACTGGAACTCGTGGCCATCGCGTTGTCGCACCTCCACCCCGTGGAACTGCTTCACACAGGTCTGGCCATTCTTCTGCACGGTCAAGGTAGCTGGGTTTGCCAGGAGTTTCTCCCAGCCTGCCTCGGCCTCCCGCAAAGTGTTGTAAACCTTGAGCGACATTTCTTGAGCTGCCCAAATTCTGAACGGCACGTAGACATCCAGATTGTCTCTGAAGGATGAGGCAATCCTTCTTTCCTCTACATGACCAACTGCAGAGCTAAAGGTACGTTTCGTTCGGTGATCTTCCTGGGCTCGGGAAAGTTTTTGTTCTGCATACCACTTCTTCCTGTCTTCCGGTGTCTTGGCCTTCAGCTCATCTTTCACCTTTTGTGCGTTCAGTCGGCGTCCTTTTTCCTCTTCCGTTTCCTCTCGGCCCTTGGGCTTGGTCAGGCTTCTGTTCAGCCACTTCTCCGTTGCCAAACAGCTGTTGCAGGCTCGCAACAAAGGGTTTCGGCCAGTAGCACAGCTACTGGCCATGTTTGTGGCTTCACCACATTTCTGGCACAGCAGTGCAGGAGCAATGCCAACTTGGCTGCTGGACGCCTCACTTGGTGTCGGTGTGTTGCTCATGGCTTTGTGGAGCAGCTACAAAGAACACAGGTCACAGCACACACACACACACACACACACACACACACACACACACACACACACACACACACACACACACACACACACACACACACACACACACACACACACTCCGCTCCAGAACCAGAGACGGCAGAAGTGTATCCGCTCAGCACACAGACACAAAGCTTGCAAAGTCACCGGTGCAAACGAAGCACGCCTACACACACCTGGCCCCCTTTGCCTCACTCCGCATTCCTGCATTGGATAACCGCTCGAGCACCCTGGCCCTGTCTATGTGCTGCCATACTGTTTCTACAGGCTACGTGCAAAGTCAAGCAGGTGGCTTCAGACGGCCACCCACACCTATTGTAAATTACGAATTGTTGGCAACGCTTGCAGCATCCTCTCAATCAGTTCTGTCAGTGTACAGCACCGACTTGCCCCGGACTCGTCTTTGGGGACTTGCCAAGTTCACGACCTTGCAGCCTCTCTTCAGGGAGCCTTGGGGCCAGCACCCTCGCTGTTGTGGCCTTGCTGGGTTGCACATGGGCTCCTGCTTGACTTCAGCCTTCACTTCAGATTTTAGGTCCAACCCTGCCCTGTGACTGGCTGGCCCTGCACCATGCACACTGGAGCTTTCAGACCCCTTCTTGTCCACACATGAGGCTGCAAACTTCCTTGAAGCTTGCTTGCCTTTCTTGATCATGCTCTCACACTCTTCGATGTCATCTTGACAGAAGACATTGGGGAAACCTTCAGCCTCAGCAGGGTTATGAAACGACTCCCCGGGTGTCACTGCAGGAATCAACTCGTGCAGCTCCTGGGTGCTCAGCCTGGTCGGTTCTTCTGGCAAAGCACCATAGATGTATGCTTGCTCCAGCATTGGGCACAGCATGGAAGCCAAATGCAGGGGATGATAAGCGTTCCCTGCTGCCTTCAAGGCGGCAGTCTTGTTATCAAACATACGACACGCCAGGCCGCTGTGGCCTTGGAACATGAAGCGCTCCTCTGGGGTCACGAACCTGTGAAGTCGCTGCTGTTGCCACGGCAAGCAGTTCTTCACCTCCCCTGACAAGAGCAGGAACAACTTGGGGCCAGCAGTGCGAAGGGGTGGGATCAGATCATAGAGAACCTGCTTCCCGTAATCACGCAATGGACTTCGGTCTAGCTCCACCACGGCCACGGTCCCTGCTTTGCCTGCCAGCACATCTTTTTCAATCCGTGCGATGTAGGCAGCAAGGTTGCACCGCATTCGGTGGCTCAATGAGGCAGGGTCCACTGGGGGCACTGTGGACTCGATCAAGGTCCTGATGTCCACATGCCCTCCCAAGTCTTTGGCAGTGAGTGGCACTGGTAAAGATGCCTCCGGGCCCAGGCAATCTCTGCGCATCCCCCGGATCCACAAACGCTCCCTGTCATGGGGGAAGATCGTCTTGAGATTGTGCACCTGTGCCTCGATACGGAAGAAAGGCACACAGAACTGGAGACGACTCAAAATCTCCTCCAGGTACTGGGTTCCCTTGAGCAAGCGGGAGTTCTCCAGCACAAATGCCACAAGCTGGCCCTGCCACGCCTGGAATATGATCCAAGCCACACATGTGTCCATCACATCGCTTCGACTATCTGCTGTCCCCATTCGAGCCCCTGTGGCTGCCCACGGCCCGCACGGTGGCCCTGCTGCAAAAACTTCTGAGGGCTGCAAAGTCTCGACTGGAAGCTTCAGGATGTCTCCGTCGCTTCCAAGCTTCATCCTATCCAAGCCCCTTGCTCCAATGTGCTTGACCAGTCCTCTGTAGTAGCTTACCAGTGAAGCCTCTGTGTCAAAGGCCTGGGTCTCGCAGTGCTCACTGTGAGACAACTCACACAGTCTTCGCAGGCCTCCCAGGCCCACACATGGTTCTGTGACCCGCAAAGGTCTTCCGAGCAGTCTCAACACTCGTCCTGCTCGGAATGCGACCTGCTCCAGACTTACACCAGATTCAGGGCTGTGTTGGCACTGCCCTTCTTGCTCTGCCATGATGACACAGCCTGTGGCTGCTGTGATGAGCTCTAGCACACAAACGCAAGACTCTATGTATCCACACAGCATGTCACACGCTGTAACCCTAAACCCAAAACCCTAAACCCTAGACCCTAAACCGCAAAACCATTAACCCTTAACCCTCAACCCTAGACCCCAAACCCTAAACCCTAAACCGTATCCATGCCAACATGCCTGCAAGCCATCTTGTAACACAAGCATTCATGACAAGTGAGAGGGGGGCTAAGGGGGATTTGGGGGGTCTGGGGCCGGTTCGAACTGAGACAAGGCGGAACAGGACGTGGAACGTGGACAGGAAAGGGGCGGGACAGGGCGGGACAGGGCGGGACGGTGACGGGACACGGGCGGGACAAGGCGGGACAGGGCGGGACACGGGCGGGACGGGGCGGGACAGGGGCGGGACATGGGCGGGACACTGGCGGGACACTGGCGGGACGTGGGCGGGACGTGGGCGGGACGTGGGCGGGACACGGGCGGGACAGGACGGGACATGGGCGGGACGGGGGCGGGACGGGGGCGGGACGGGACACGGGAGAGACACCCCCAATACATAATTTAAATAAAAACCCCAACCGGGAGGGACATGGGAGGGACACCCTCCCACACAAAAACCCTTGTGCTGAGGCCTTTTCCCCTGCAACCAACACTCCAGGCCCCGGAAAGCCCTGAAAACCCTCATCAGGCTCGCTTTCCCTTTTTTCTCGCTGTCGAAGTGCTGCCAGCCAGTGCCACCGTGCCCGTGTCCCATCCGGCTCTTGTCTCCGGACGGCACACCAGCAAAAACCTACAGAATCTTCTCGCCCAGGGCCAGGAGCCTGTTGAATGCCTGAAGCCGCTGCGACTGCTCTGTCTGCTCAGCAGCACCACCTTCCGTGCTGCTTCTGGCCCCACCTGTGCTGGGCTCGGGCTCTGTGACAGTGCCCTGCGCTGTCCTTGTTGCCTTGTCAGGCTTTGCAGGCTTCTCGTCCCTGCCACGTGACTCTTGCTCCCTGCCACGTGACCCTTGCTCCCTGCCACGCGGTGCTTCCCTGCCACGTGGGGCTTCCCTGCCACGTGGCGCTTCCCTGCCACGTGGCGCACTTTGCAACCGGACCATGCTCTGCTTGTTGGTCTCCTCGGACTCGTCTGTGTAGTACTCGTACGACGAGCTCGACTCCTTCTTCTTCTGTGAGGCACGGACCGAGCGACCACGGACAGGAGGGGCACTTGTTGCCCTGGTCCGAGCCTTTCTCTCCTCCCTGGAAGCCCTGACCTCCGCCCTTGCCCTGCTCTCTCGCTGGGGCGGCTCCTTCGGCTCCGCAGGAGGCTGGCTGGAGCAGCGGTGTAAGTGCTGCTCCAGGTCCCAGGAGCGCCAGAAGGTCTTCTGGCAGTGCGGGCAAGAGTGCTCCGGCCTCAGCTCCTGACCCTGAGCGCGTGCTTGCCACTGCTTGCAGTACGCGTTGGTCTGCAAGTGCAAGGCCATGGTGGACCGCGGTTTCACGGACCAACAGGCCGGGCACTTTACTTTCTCTTCCTTCCACCAGGAGGCTGGCTCAGCCGCCTGGAGCTCCGAAATTCTGAAGGCTGATCTGCCCGAAAGGGCCGAACAAATCCTGGCCGCCTCTGCTTCTGGAGCGTGCTGGCGACGGCGCCCGTGCCTCTTCTTTCTTCTCTTCAGAGGCCTCTCCATCTTTCTTCTCTTCAGAGTCTGACCCTGACCGGCCCTTTCGCCTCTTGGACTCCAGATCTTCCTTGTCTGGCTCTTCTACCATTTCTCTGGCCTCCTCCTGCTGCTCTGCCCCCGCCTCTGGTGCAGGCTCACCAGGCTCTGGGGCATCCCCTCTCTGCTCCTCCTCGTCAGAGCCAGAGCTTTCACGGCCACCGCGGCCACCATCACGTCCATCCATCGCCATCGCCTTTGGCGCTGGCATGCTGGACCGTACCTGCAGGGCAAGGAAGTGTCTCTTTAAAAACCTACTGGGTGTTTAGGCCTTTGGGCTTGGGTTGTTTTTGGAGCTACAGACTACAGACCTCACTAGAGCACCGGCTCTGGCCACTCCACCTGTTCGCCGCCTGCATGCCCAGTGTGGTCAGCGCCTGCAGGCCCGAAAACAGGCCCCGGCCTCTGACCACACTAGGGCACCGGCTCTGCGAACAGGCCACTCCCCCCCCCTCGCCGCCTGCATGCCCAGACACTGTGGTCAGCGCCTGCAGGTCCCAACAAGGACCCCGGCCTCTGACCACAGTCCGGCAACGGCTCTGCGAAATGTCAGGTTTTAGGGTGTAGGGTTTAGGGTTTAGGGTTTAGGGTTTAGGGTTTAGGGTTTAGGGTTCAGGGTGAAAGGTTTAGGGCTAGGGTACAGGGAGCAAGAACCCTGAACCCTATACCCTAAACCCTCTACCCGACAAAAAAGCACAGATGCCCGCTGGCCTCTGTCGGGCTCACTACCCACCACACACCCATCAGCTTGAGCCAAGGCTTGGCGCGACAAAAAAATCATTCAAGCAAAACGCATGTCGGGTTTAGGGTTTAGGGTTTAGGGTTTAGGGTTTAGGGTTTAGGGTTTAGGGTTTAGGGTTTAGGGTTTAGGGTTTAGGGTTTAGGGTTTAGGGTTTAGGGTTTAGGGTTTAGGGTCTCTGAGTTTTGGCTTCTGAGACTTTTCAAAACTTTCAGGCACCCAAACGCTGCCTCTCCTGCACTCTCTCAATTACGGCATCAGCAGGATTGAAGGCCACATGATCCTTTGACGTGGCGTACTGATGGGCCGCCTGCACCCAAGCGAAAAGCCAGGCCACGGCTGTGGCCTGGCTGGCATGAGATCGCAGGAATGTGTATCGCCGGCAGTTGCCATGCCGGGGGTCCCGGCACTGGATGAAAGCTCGTCTGTGGCCACTTGTGTGAGTCCAGTTGTCAAAATGCACAACGAAATCACTCATCCCCGGGATGCGACAATTTTGGGAAGGAAGACTTGGGAGGTCCAGGGAGAACCTGAGAGGTGCAGTCTGTGCACGAGGCCTCACCCTTCGCTTTCGAGATGCCGTGAAGCCTTGGCATTGTGCCAAAGTCCAGTCTTGCACTCCAGACAGATCTGCCTCTTGCAGCAGCATCTCGTAATACGCAGCACTGCCCGAATGAGAGATTTGTCGGAGCTCCCCAGGCTTTTCCCAAATAGCATCCTGAAAGCACAACGCTTTGAAATGAGACTCGGGCCTATCCAGTATTTTTTCCGGCAAGTGGTTCTCATCTCCTTGCTTGTGCCACTCTCCGGGTTGTTCGTCAGTGCTCCAATCTGCCTGCAGCAGCTTCTTGAGCCATGCCAATTTGTTTCGGCCGGCTGGGTTCTGCATCACCACTTCATCATCACACAGCAGGACAGGGTTTTCTAGACACACTACACTCGTGAGCTTTGTGGCATCACTGAGCGCCACCAACATGTCCCCAAAGTCATCCTCACGTGCTTGAACAAGACCCTGGGCGAGCAGTGCTTGGCATGCTCTGGCATTGAAGTACGGCAGATGCAAAACCTGCACATAGTTGTCACCTAATGCTCGGGCCTGCAGCAAGGCTTGCAAGAAATCCTCTTGATCACGTGACAACAAGGCCCCAGTTGCCGCTACTGCTACTGGGCCTGCCTGCTGCTCTTGGACTTGTGCAGACAAGAGATTGTTTGCTTCCGGGCCAGCTGCGAACGCATCCAGCACAAGGTCGTCGTCTGTGACAAAATCCGGCAGCTGCAGTGCTGCAGCAGGCTGTGCTGCAATGGCCTCAAGTTGGCTCTCATGCCCTGGGGGCACCATAACCTGCACTTGCACTGTCTTCGCTGTGGAGGCCCAACACAGGCACTGGGAGCTCAGCAGGCCGAGGCCCTCTGGAGTCGCAAACAATGCCAGGTCCAAAGTGTGCTGCTGCACAGAACTGTAAGTCACAACAGGCTTAAGTGGGTCACGAATGTCGACGTTGAGAAAACGCAACACCTTCAGATGGCACCTGCGATCGACCTCTGCGACGCCCCGTTGCTGGGCACGCCGCTCCGGCCGAGAATCCAGAATGTAGCCATAAATCCGATCTTCTGCTGGGTTCTCCGGGATGTCGGCCGGCATCAGAGCCTCGGCAAAGTTTTGAAGAGTGAGCTGCACCTCGGGCTGCAGAGCGTCTGACTCGGTGCCAAGAAGCAATGCTTCGAACAAGGCATGTGGCAAGCTGAAGAGAACGCCCGTCTGCAGCTGGCTCTTCAGATAGTCCACAATCATCCACTGCTTCCGCTGCAGGCCCCGGGCTTGCACATTGTCTTCGGCTCCGGCACACAAAGCCCGCTTCGTGGCTGTGTGCAAGTCGTCTGCTGCCTTCTCCGCCCCAAGCTCCTCCTCTTGCATAAAGTGATCGGCCTCATGATAGCAATAGATGCGAGCAACCTTGTATGTCTGTGTCTTCTGAAAGGCCTCATGCTTTGTCATGAGATGAGACAGCAACTCTGCCATGATGTGTTTTCTCTGCCACATCTGCAGCAGAAAACCACACTGTTCTGGCTTGGCGATCATATCCAGCAGCTGTGCTCGTCGAGCACGAACACATGTCATGGCAGGCCCTTGGTTTCTTAAGGTTCGTCGCCCAGCAATCTTGATAAGCACGTGTTGCCTCTCGGTACTTCGCTCAACTAGGCTACAGAAGGCCCTCTCCTGGATCTCGGCCCAAGCCAAGGGGAAGTGCTCCAGCTTGGCCTCCTCGCCACTCTGTGCAAAGGCATAGAGCTGATCGGCCAGGCCCCCTGGCGATTGTCTCTCAAACAAATGTTGCAGCAACCAGGTGCTGCGACCCTGCTCCTTGAGAGATCGGTACTCCTCAAAACAGTCCAGGACAATCCGCTTGCTGTGCTGCAGATCGTACAAGTCCGGCCTAGCATAGTGAGCATAAGCCCCTGCCAGACTAAAGGGCACGTGGGAAAGATACTGCAGCTTCTCCGACATGATCGAAACCCACTTGTCACGGGCCTGCTGGTCCATGAGCGCCATGCCTGCCGCAACCTCGGAGGGCAACTCCAGCACGGTTTGGGTGTAGCTTGTGCTGGTCAGTCGCTGGATGCTTGCCAGCAATCGCTCGGTGAAACCGGCAGAAAGAACACACGATCGACGCCCTTTCCAACAGCACTTGAGGCTGACCTTGGCCTTTCGGGTTTTGGCTCGCTGAAGCTGCTCCTCATGGCAAAAGCATCCCTCAAACCAGTGGGCCCACTTCTGTATAAAGCAGGAAAACATCCAAGCCCACTCAACATAACCCAGGTGAAAGGGATCTTTCAAGGCACCATCGACAGCATCGCATAAGCTGGCCTCTGAGGACAACTGTTCCCGGTCCCAGTATTTGGAAAGTACTGGCCTGACGTTCAAGTAATGTTTCAAGGTCTGGTGCAAGGATTCCCATCGCCAAGACAGGAGCTCTCCATGATACCCCTGCACCAACTTCTTGTCTTGCCAAGGTGCCTCTGCCATCATCTTACTCAGGACCACTTCACGAAAAGACCGATTTGTCAGCAGCTTGCTCACTGCCGACACTTGTTTTTCCACTTGGTCCCACCGGGGGCATGACTTGCAGGTCTCCTCCAAGCTGTTGAAGAGGATGTGTAGCATGCCGGGGTGACTGAAACTGTTGGGAAGGAAGGCCTCCGCAGTCCCCTGCACAACAGCTTCCACACCAGCGCCAGGCTCCTGCAAACCTGCCACCAGTTCGTTCATCCTCTGCCCATTGCCCATCGGCCAGTGAGGGATGCCCTTTTCGGTTCCCTGGTCTGAGACCCAACCCTTCACCTGCCTGCGGTAGACATCGAAGTGGTCCTGCCCGTTCTCTAAGATAATGGCCGATCTCAACCTTTGTGCCTTTACATAAGTTCGGGTCTCTCCACGGGCCAAGGTCATGACAGGCATGGTACGAAAAGTGTGCTCAAATCCGGACCATGGATCTGCAGCTGCCACAGTGGGCGAGGCTCTTGTCAGAATTTCTTCTGTCATAGCCAGGTACTCGTAACCACATTGCGGGCTCGCATCCATGCTCAGATACCTGCTGACAGAGACATTGTGACACCGCACCTGCTTCTGCATGACACTCCTTCTGTAGAGCATGTGGAGCATATCCAAGCGAATCATCCCGGACCGAAGTTTCCCTCTGCCCGGAACAGAAAGCAAAGCTCTCTGCAAAAGCTCTGGTGCCATGGCTCCAGTGATGGGTTCCAAGAAACGAGCCACACATTGCACTGCTGTGACAATCTCTGAGCTGTTCTGCAGTGAAAAATTGAGCCTCACCATTTGGATCTCTTGCATGGGGCTCAAAGTCTCTGTGTCCCTGCCATACCTTGCTGCATGTGCAATCCTGCCCCGGAGAGACAGGTCCATGGGCTCACCTGGCTCGAGGTCGTCCAGGTTCACGTCGTCCCAACCGATCCCTGCATGCTCCATGTCCTCTGCAGGGACCTGCTCTGTTTCCGGGGCACTGGATACATGTACATGTGTGCTTGCCACAAGTGAGCCTGGAGTCCAGAGCTTCAGTGGCCCCTCCACTTCGTGGCAGAGTGACAAGAAACTAATGTTCCCTGGAACCTGAATCAGCCAGGCTTTTGCATGGCACAATTCTCCAAGCAAAACATCCTCCAGACCACCTAGAAGATGTTGCCCTGGAGCTTTGCTCAGTGCATTTCGCAGTTCCACTCCAGGCCTAAAAGCTCGCTGCAGCTGCTGTCCAGGACATTGATCCCGAAGCAAGCTTACGGCCTCATCAAAACGAAAACACTTATCCAATACCCAACAGAAAAAACTCCCTTCGTGCTTCAGACTATCTCCTTCCTCGCCGCCACGCCGTCGGCGCCTCTGTGTGAGCCACTTCGAAAATTCATGGGACTCTGCCTCGCTGGCTCTGTCCCAGCAACCC